AGCATCGGAAAGAGGACCTGTTTGAATGTTAGGCTTCTTGCCCCCTAGAGGGACTGAAAGTTGATTAGCATCAATTAGGTCTTGGATCGCATCCTTCAACCTCCAACACTTCTCAGTATTATGACCCTTGCCTTGATGAAACTTGCAATAAGCATTAGGATCATAGCTAGCGGTCCTATTCTCTGGTCGAGGTTCTGGAAATGGTCCAATTGGCATAATCAGTCCTTGACCATGCAAACGGTCAAAAGCAGCATCATAAGTCATTCCCAAAGGCGTGTAAACCCTCCTTTACCTTTGGAATATTTGAGGAGGAGCATTAAGGGCCAGCACATCATTGATATTGATATTGTTGGTAGCATTATTGTGCTTGGAAGACGAAGAAAAAGGAGTGTCGTTCTTCTTGTTTTTCCAAGTGTTGTTATTATTGTTTCTACCAGCAATCTTCATTAGTTCGTCCTCGATATTGATTCCAATATCGTATACAGCTTCAAAGGTACTCAGAGGCAGAAACTTCAAGTGTTGCTTGTACTTGTGAGTCAGATTGGCAATGAACAAGGGAACCATCTCTTTTTCCTTGGGGGGATCCACCTAGAGCGCGGCTGTTTCCGTCCACCTGCTTAAGTAAGTGGTGAAGCCTTAATTCTCTTTCTGTTTGAGAATGGAGAGTTCACGTTCAGAAGTCATGGCCTGAATGTTACACTTTTAGCGATTCATAAAGCTTTCAGCAACATCCTCCCAAGTCGCAACATGCTTGGATTCCAAAGAATAGAACCACTGTTGACAGGCATGCTCCAAGGAAAGAGGGAAAACTGTAGGGAAGAGTGTCACATCTACTCCCTTAAGAGCCATGGTTGTAGAAAAGCCTTCAAATGGAAAAGTGGATTATCAGTAGACTTGACCTTGGGAATGTCAGCAGTGGAAAACTTCTCAAGAAGCTTGTCCCTTATGGACGAAGAAGTGACATGTTGTTCCACATAAGTGAATTCTTCAGAAATCTTACTCATCGGTTCCTTAATCTTGTCCATTTCAGCGGTAGTGACATTTTTTTGATTGTCTTGCTCTACCGTGTTGACCCTAGTGGTGAGTGTTTGCATCATGTTAGACAACATTTCAATTGTCTTGTTGATGTTCTCCTCGTCTTCCTTAGTAGCCATTGGTTGAAAGTAGACTGGAGATGGATCTTTGGAGATGATTGTGGTGGTTTCCTTGTACGCCTCTTTGGTATAAGAGGTTGTTGAGGTATTGACTCGAATCGTAACAATCTACCCCTGCTTCTTGACCAACTGTTGTGACACCAAAACAAACACACCTTTAATGACCGAACTTAACCTTAACCCATCCGGAAAAATAAATAAAATAAAATTGAATTGTTTAAAAATCTATAACCTTGAAATTCTATTTATTTATTTTTCTAAAAAAATATGGGAGGATACTATCCGACTTACTCCGAAAAAAAACGACACCAAAAAAAAAAGACTACCCTAAAATATGGTCAAAAAAAGTGGTACACGACTAAAGAAAAAAGTGTGTGAACACGATATGTGAGTGATTAAGTGGGTTATAGACGCGTGTTTTGACCGTACAGCTAGACATGACACCAGACTGGACATATAGACCACATACGTACGCACAAAAACCGAAAAGAGACTGACCAGACACTTTTCCTGGGCACTGTGTCACGGTGCTGACTGTCTTGACACGGTGCAGCCTACCGTCGGACGGTAGAAAGCCCCGTGTCACGGCACTGTTCACCGTGGAGCGGTAGAAATTGCTGTGACACGGTGCGCAGTTCTAGATTTGTTTTGTGTTTTTTCCTGATTTTAGTCGATTTTAGGTCCGTACTAGTTACTATGTGATAATAAAAACCCTCGGTCATGGGTTCAACAAAAAGAGTAAACACATGAAGGTTAGCACCAAAAAACCATGTAGCATTTAGTCACGATGATTTAAAAAAAGTTTGCAACCCAGAGTCAAGATCTATGTTCAACTATTGGTCAGGCTTTGGGTGTCAAAAGGGTACCATGGTTAAGAGTTTGGACGCGTTAGAAAGGCAGCCTCCCTTGAGGGTGTATGCCAACGGGCGGCTCTGCGAGTTCGTGATGAAATCAAACTCGACTCCATGGTTTGGGTGGATTTAATAACTCGGATGAACCCTTATTGCCATGAGCGTTTTTGGGTTGATAGAGCTTAAACTCCCCGGGGCTAAGACGCATGTAGAACACACACGTTTTTTCAAAAAAATCGAAGGAAGTTAATTGTGAGAAGAGAAAATAAGCCACCGGACTGATTTTAGGACTGCCGTGACACGGCAAAAATTCCCGTGCCACGGTACTGCACACTGTCTGACGGTGTACTGTACCGTGACATGGCAGAATCTGTCGTGGCACGGTAGTCAGAAAATCTTACTGGTGCCCAATTTTCCTTCGTACGCAATCAAGTTATTCAATTTCTCCTACGGGACAGACCTAAATGCGACGTTAAAACGTCTAAGCATATGCAAAAAATTCCAAATTAATCACATGAATATTTTTCAAGAATCTTTCAAGTCTCATCCACTCATCTTAATAAAATATCGATCACTCAAATCGATAAATAACCAAGAATCCTCCACAGTGGAGTCGCCAAATTGTAAGGGTCGCTCGAAGTGCGCCTACGTTAAGAGCATGTGTGAATATGCTTGGCACTCATAGGAAGTGGGAATTGACATATACGATCAGGGACAAGGAAAGTAGGGAGCCGCCAACAACTTTTTAAGAAACTTGTAAACCGTTCATGGACCATAAAAAGGCAACCACGATAAGGGACAACGATTGACCCGTGATGGTTACACCCCATTATAATCCATGAGATTACTAACTCCATATGGTTCAAAACCACGAAAGGAGGATCGGGGATGATGGTACGAAGTGAGTCATGGAGTCACATTCGCCCGTATTGGCCTCTACTCGATTGTTATAGTGAAAAACAATTCCTGCGATCTCAAAGGCATACAAACAAAATATTCAATTCACTCCAATCTATTATTAAGCTAAATTGGTTGAATATTAATGCAACATATAATTCTAAAATATTTGTGATCACTTGAATTAAGCAACAAGATTGAAAGGAACCTAAACCGCTTGTCCAAATTATCTTATTAGGCGTGATTTTCAATTACATATTCCCTTTAACATGCAATATGGTGATCATAAAAATAATAGAATAAACATTAATATTGGAAGCAATTTAGCAATAATTCCAACAATATAAAATCGTTAGAAAAATAATAGAAATAAGAGGAACATAATTCTTACTTTGATTCTATTTGTTTGCAACTACAAAATAATAAAAAGTTAGTAACTTCAAGGAAATAATAATAAAACAATAATTAAATTAAATGAAATAAAGTAGAGTTAATTTGGGGCCAAACCCTCAAACAATTCTACCTTTCACGCCTTGGCTTAAGGACAGAACCACGAGTAAAGTATGGACTCCTTGGAGTACTTGAAGAAGGAATTCTGAAATAAGAAGGGTAGGCTAGTGTTTAGGCTAGAGCATAGAAGAGAGAAAAAACTAGAGAAATTAATTCATGCCCCGTACATCAGAAATGAGGGGGTATTTATAGAGAAAACGTGCTGAGGGAACACACGGAACCCTAATATGATAAAAACCCTAAAAAAGTATCCCGCGACACGGAAAACTGTACCGTGACACGGGAAGTCCCACCGTCAGACGGGAATGATTCCCGTGACACGGTGGAATTTTTGTGTTAAACGGGAAATTTTTAGTAAACGGGGAAGAAAACGCGTTAAGGGTTTACGCGGAAAGGACACGGAAATTCCCGTGTCACAGCAAGTTTCCCATGTCACGGGAAATCCCACCGTCATACAGGAATGATTCCTGTGACACGGTGGATTCCTGCCGTGGCGCGGGAATTTTCAGCCCGCTTTTCCGTCTAAATACATTTTTAACCCTAATTTCGTTCAGCATTTTAAGTGCCGATTGATAATTTCGGGCCTTTTTATGATTTATTATTATTTGGGCTAAATTAAAAAAATAAGCAACTAAAATAAATAAAAGGTTAAGCCAAAAATAAATAATAAAACAATAAAATAAAAAGGTTTGGGCTAAAATTAAATAATAAGTTTGGGCTGAAATTAAAACTATGCTTTTACCAAACATCAAGACTAATCCATGGACTATTCAAAAATACGAATTTAATCAAATATGATTTTTTAAACACTCTCGAGATTAAATACTGAACCTGACCAATAGTGGCGGTGAAAGGTTGTTCATCATCAGGTTTGGTTTTGGGCAGACATTTTTAGGTGTCTACACGTGGTGTGCAGGAATGATTGGTAAGGGGGGCTAGTGTGTAAGCAGGCATGCAGGTAAGTGGTATGAGGGAGTGGGGGCTGTTATGTATGATAAGGCTAGGTTGGTGTGCAGGAAATCCAGGGCAGGGGGGCTGGTGTGCAAGTAGGGAGGGGATGCTGGTATGTGCAGGCAGGCATGTGGCAGGAGGGGGTCAGGGATGGTGTGCAGGCAGGGAGGGGGCTGGTATGCATGTAGGGAGGGGGCTGGTGTACAGGCAAGGCTAGTGTGCCAGGTCACAGAAAATGCAAAAACAGCAGAGGAGCACTCTCCACCCACAATAGCCTGCAACACCAACCACTTACAGCTATAACAGATGCTTGTCTCACTAGTTTATTTAATGTAGCTTTTTGAGCTCTTTGGAAAATGATAGAATGTAGTAAGGGTAGTAATTAAGGCTTTATGTGACATCATAGAGTTTGTAGTCCTATATATGGCAAGAATCAAAAGTAAAAGTAGAAAAAGTAGTTGTTACATACTATTTCTTGTCAAGTGCAACCGAAGCTTTTAGTGCCATTATAGTGAGGCATCTTCTGATGTGCCCTACTTTCACTGGCTTTTTTTCTCTTCTCGTACAGTAAAAGGGATTTAATCAATAATATACATTAAATTATATAAGAATAAAGATATATTATCTGTGTATTTTACCATAACCGCCTCTTCACTCCAATAGTCAACCAAGAACTTCCATTCCACTTTAGTTAGATGACTAGGCTTATTTTTGAGACGTTCTTCTTTTGTTTTCAAGTTTTAATCATTTAAGTACTTTGATTTCAATTTGATCCTAGCACCTCCAAATAAACGTTGTGCATGTTTCATAACACACTCTCGCCTATTTTCAGGGTCATCAAATGACCACTTCTCCTGCAAATGAAAAAAGTAAATTAATTAATGCTCATACATCAATTTGACAATGTTTCATTGTTAATAAGAGAAAGAAAAACCCCGTAAACATGTTTGTTATGATAACATATTACCGTGATGCAAGCCCACAAATGGTCTAATATTTCATATTTATAATCGTCCCAACATTTAACTTGTACCGAACATATAACTTTAATTTATTTCGAACTTGTTGACCCAAGAAGAAACAAAATAATGAACCATTATCATCAATAGCTACACCATCATCGTCAAACTCCACATTCAGTTTTTCCCCAGGAGATAACAGGGTAAGCTTTCTACAATATATCGTTCCTCTTTTTTCTTAGCATCACTAGTATCAAGCATAAGCTCACTAGGTAGTGAATTGATATGACTTGAAGCATATATATATATATATATATATATATATATATATATATATATATATATATATATATATATATATATATATATATATATATATATATGTTTTAATGGATAATAAAGTCAAACCTGATGAAATGTTATGGTCCTCATTCTCTACTACAGTCATGATTTCCTTGTCGTTCAATGGTTCTGTATCCAAAGATGTATCTTCAAGTTCAAGTGGTTGACCAATCTGTCGTCCTTCCTTATCCTAGCCTCCCTCTGCGGTGTTATTATTCTCCCTTGTTTCTCCAATTTCTTCATCGTTTTCTATTTACATGTATAGAATAAAAACAAGTCTATACTGAAGTGATGAGAAAGGATTGGTTTTGATTGTTGCTGAAACTCTCTGAGTGATGAGATTGAATGTATAGAATCCACAAACTTTCCCATGAATCTGGTTAATCAAAATGTTTATTGTTCATCATAAAACCTATAACGCACTTTAGTAAACTGAAAATCAAGGCCCTGATCAAAAGGACTTAAAAAGAAACCTAAAATTGTAAATTATTTCAGTACACAGAACAAAACAAAATTCCTGTTGCATAGTTACTTACTACTATGAATTAAATTTATAAAAATAAAAAATAAAAACAAATTTTGTGCACGTATATTTGAGCTACAGTCAGGCAGTCAACTATACAAGCCAAGCCCTGAGCCAAAATTTACTTTTTGATGTGAAAGTCAGCACCATTGGTTTGACCTTTTCCTCTATTGTACTAGTTTGTGTGTATGCTTAAATGGTTGGTGTTATGATCTAACTGAATGTTTGGCAGCCTACTTTCACATTTTAAAAAAAACCTCCCTTAGCACCACCACTTTCATCCCACGTAGCCCCACCACCTCCTTCCTAGCAGCCACCGAAAACCACCATCTCCCTCCTGAACCCCACCGAAAACCACTGAACCCCATCCTATTCCCCCACGCAACCACTGAAAAGCCAAAGTTCTAAGCCACTGAAACCCCAAAACCCAGCCATCGAAACCCCAAAATCGAAACCCTGAGAAAATGAGAAACATGGAATGAATGCTCATGCTATAACTTTCTCATTTAAGATATCAGGATTTGCTCTTAGGTTTATGGAGATTTATGGTTATGCTTTGGAATTTGAAGTGTTTAGAGACTAACTGATAGGTTAATGTCACGTTTAAGCACAAACAAATTACTGCTTATTGTCTAAAAGTATCAAGGGGAGTGTTAGGAAAAGTAGTAATCAAGAATGCTTCTGGTGAGTTCTTTTCTATTGTTTGCTGATATATTTTTCTTATACAAAATCAATGTATGTTTCTTAAGAAGTTGGTTGTTGCCTGCTTCCCATGCATTTATTAACATTGTTGCTCTATTTCAGTGGTGGCCTCTTTCCAGAGGGAATTAAGACAACCAAAATTTGGTAAGCCTTATGCTATATGCGTATATATACACTAATGTTTTGTATATAGTTGTCTATAAGCTGTGTAAGAGTTAATGCTGATGTGCAAAGAATCTGAACTATTACCAAGTTGTGCTATATACAAGGACATAACAAAGTTTCTTCTTAATGTACTGAAGATTTTACTATAAACTTTTGAAATTTAATGAAGCATCAATAACATGCAATAAAAACCAGCACTACCAACCAATTAATTTGAAATGCAAGTAGATATTTTAAAATGTAATTTTTCTTCAAGCTAAGGGGTGTAGGAGCGTATGTCTAAAATTAAAGAAAATTTAAGAAGAAATCCAAAATCAATATGCATCTTCAACACCATTGACAAATTAAAATTCATGGAATTAATTTTGAAATGTTAGCAAATTGCAGAGTACAATCTCTGTCATCTTAAAAGCGCTCTAACACCCTCCTCCTTTACACACACACACTTTATCCCCCCTTTATAGACACATACCTCAGGTTAGTCTAAAAGTATCAAGGGTAGTGTTAGGACAAATTCCCTATCTGCTTGCAGCACACTCATTCCTCTACCAAACTAAAGCTAAATTTTAGTTCTATTTATTTCAATTTTCTCCTTTAGAAAATCAGCTTATCTCATATTTTTATTTAATTTTTAATACTGCTACAAAACTAAAATGAAACATTCAGTCTAAGAGAGCTTAGATCTTTCAAAGAGCTCTCTGAACCAATTTGAAAGGATTTACCAATAAATTTCAATAAGAGAGAGCACATCACTTAAACCTAATATGACATTTTGAAAGCAAAAGAGAAACTAAGGTACCAATAAGATCAAACTGAAAGTAATAAGATAGAAACCAAAATCAAGAATAATGAAGTACCTTTTTCTAAGATATCCATGGCCATTATGTTTTGTGCTTTCTTGTTTGTCTTTAGAAACTTTGCAACTGACATTGGTGGAATGAAATTGCCTTTTTTGTTTCCTTCTCTCAAATGTCTTATGTTAGCTTGATAAAAATTAATTAACAAAAAATTACCAGAACAATAGAGGTTGGCTGAAAAACTAAATAAATCATACTTATTAGTTGATATTATACCTTTCTTGTAAACCTAATTTGGGGTTCTATTTCACGTTCCTGAACCTCAAGCTCATCATTAGTGGGATCATATTCATCCTCTTCCATGCCATCATTTTTTTTTCCTTTTTTATCTTTTTTTTTTTGTCCCTTCAACCAAGCTTGACAAAGAGGATGCGATTCTTTTTATGCCCAACGACTTGAGTCTGTTTTTTTGGCTTCTATAGTAAGAAGCCTCTTTTTTTCATACTCATTCATCTGCATTTACAAGGTAAAAAACAAATAGAGTTAGACAATTTTACAACAAAACTGTAAAGCACATTTACTGCCTAATCTAATCTACTACCATCCACTACATCCCTAATGCAAAGCTGCTGCCAGCTACTATACACATGGTGTACAATTACTGTGAAATACTACAGGCCATTTACCAATAGTTGTTCATAAAACAAAGGCCTCCTGACATATATCTACTCAAATAAGCCAATAAAAACACGAATGCAAAGGGTGAAAAAAAAATAAGTAATTATAACTACAAAGGTTTTTCAAAAATCCATGAATATATGTATCAACTCATAAAATTCATGCTAAAAAAACAAAAAGAAAAACAAAATTAAGCAATATCAATATCATCATCGTCGTTCTCTTGGTCACTCTCACTGTCATCCTTATCATCATCCTCTAGCAAATCGTCATCATCTAATGTTTGTAAGTCCATATCATTTAGATCTTTGGGTTGATTTTCCTTGGTAGCATCTACGATCATTTCCCCAATATCATCTCTTATTTCAACAAATGGATCACGAGTCCCTTGCAAATTACTTGAGCTTGAGATATGAGCACCTTCAGATTGTAATTGTTGCAATGCATCTTCTTCACTTTCAGTCCCTTATTTTTCTACAACATTATAGTGATGCCTTGGATGGATCTTCACAACAACAAGCCAATCGGGATCAAGTCTGTCACTAACATAGAAGACTTGTTGAGCTTGAGACATGAGACAAAGGGTTCTTTGGTACGCAATGAACAAAGACTATTGACACTCACATTGCCATGTTTGTCAACTTTGACACCTCTTCCTACCCTATTGACATCCCACCAATCACAATGAAACAAAACCACACGCTTTCCATCTAAATATTGTATCTCAAGTATGTTAGTGAGAATCCCGTAGTAATCTTTTTCCATATTCCTAGCAATGCCTTTGACTATAACACCACTATTTTGGTGTACTCTTTTCAATTCTGTATTCTTTGTGTGGAATCTGAATCCATTTGCAAGAATCCCGTTGAAGCATTGAACACCATTCGAAGGACCTAAAGCCAATGTTTTCAAATCTTTCACCACTCGGTCATTGCAATCATTAGACAAATTGAAGACCTAACAATAAATAGAATTTTACCTAAATAAAACTTAGACTATTACTATACTTGTAATTAAAAAATAACTACAATTGATTTTAAAAAATACCCGGTCACGAAACCAATCAACTAAATTTTTGTTTGATGTGGACTCTTCATATTCACTGAAATTCAAAAAAATAGTTGTTATAAAATAATCATGGGAAAGTATACTTGATGTTTTTTATAAATAGAAAAGAATAATATCATACTCTAAATAAGTTTTTGCTTCATCACAATTCTTAAGTACATATTCTCGAACTTGTGTTAACTCTTCTTCACTAAGAGACCTACATTTAGCCTTCCCTAAAGGAACACCTGACGATGCAAAAACTGATAGACCCTTGTAGCCATCATGTTCCGCATCATCATTCCTCTCAGGTTGATTAAATTTTGTCTCGATTTCATTCAAGTATTTTGAACAAGTACATACACTCCTCAATGATGTAACCTTCCGCGATGGAACCCTCTAGCCTACTTTTATTGCGAACATAACATTTAAATCTACGTAAGAGCCTACAAAAATAACAATTTTTTAATAAAAAAAAGAAAAAATTTAACTTAGTTAATAAAAATTATTAAATCAAATTTGCAATGCATAAGGAGTACCTTTCTATCGGATACATCCAACGATATTGTACTGGTCCACCAATTTTAGCTTCCGTAGCTAAGTGAAGACACAAGTGGACCATGATGGTGAAAAAAGATGAAAGAAATATTTTTCCCATTTCACACAAGGTGACTACAATATCACGTTCAAGATTTTTCAAATCTTTCACTTTCAATGTCTTAGAACACAAGTCCTTGAAAAATGTACTCAACTTTACTATCACATCGCACACTTTGGCTATGAACACCCCACGAACTACAAGTGGTAATAGTTGTTCCATAAGCACATGACAATCATGTGTCTTTAGACCATAAATTTTACGCTTATCGAGGTTTATGCGTTTAGAAATGTTAGAAGAATATCCATCTGGAACCTTTAAATTCTCTAAAAACTTACACACTTTTTCCTTTTGTGCCTTAGACAAGGTGTATAGTGCTGGAGGAATATGCCACTTTCCATCTCCTAATGTAGGAGCAAGATGTTTCAAAACCTTCAAATGCTTTAAATCATGTCTAGCCTTTAGATTGTCTTTTGACTTCTCATCAATATCTAGCAATGTACCAAGAACATTGTCAAGCACATTTTTTTCAATATGCATGACATCAATATTGTAACAAAGTAAGAGGTTACTCCAATACGTCAATTCAAAAAAAATGATTTTCTTCTTCCAATTATCATTCCTCTTTGGCAATTTCATTGTTTTACCAAATTTCATGTCTTCAAGGTCCTTTAGTTGTTCTAAAATCTCATTGGAAGATAATTTCCTAGGAGGACCTCTTTTTTCTACTTTCCCGTTAAAGGATTTATTATCTCTCCATTAATGATCGGTAGGTAGAAATTGACGATTGTCCATGTAACAACATTTACCCTGATTTGGTAGCCGAGCAGAGCTAGTTTCTTTCATACAATGAGGACATGCTTTATAGCCTTTGGTAGACCACCCAGACAAGTTTGCATACGCAGGAAAATCATTTATGGTCCATAACAATGAAACACGCATTTGAAAGTACTCATTCCTTGAAGCATCATAAGTCTGAGCTCCAGTTTCCCACAATTCTTTTAACTCCTCGATTAATGGTTGCAAATACACATCAATGTTATTTCCCGGTCCACTTTTCCCTGGAATTAACAAAGATAGTATTGAGTAAGGTTGTTTCATACACATCCATGGAGGGAGATTGTACACAACAACCACTACTGGCCATATACTATAGTCATTTCTTAGCCCGCCAAATGGGTTGAATTCGTCACTTGCTAAACACAACAACCACTACTTGCCAAATGCTTCCAAGCTTCACTATCTGCTAGGTGTCTAAGTACTTCGTCATCTTCTCGTTTATAAGAGTGCCACCTCATCTCATTTGTTGTTTTGGACGACATGAATAACCTTTGCAACCTCGAAGTCCGTGGGAAATAGTGTAACACTTTAGGAGAAGCTTTATCACGCTTAGTATCGCATATGGAACACTTTTCAAGGTTAGCATTCTCTTTCCAAAATAGCATACAATCATTTTCACATTCTTCTATTTTTTCAAAATCGAAACCAAGATTAGTAATCATCTTACGTGCTTCATAATAATTTGATGGCAAATCAGCACCTTTAGGCAAAGCATTTTTGAACATATGAAGCATACTAGTAAAAGCTTTATTTATGCTTTCAAGTAAGAGTCCGTTCTGTTTGGGCGAAGCACGCTCCAAAGTTAATTATCTTGTCTTAACTTGTGATTAATTTATTTATGCTTTATGGTTTTATTAATTGCGAGTGGTTCTTTGGGTCGGGGTTTTTTCCGCGGTAAGTTGGACTTACCAAACCCCAACAAAAGGTGCTTATTAATAATAAGAATAAAAAAACGAAATTACTTATTTAAGAGTTACTTATTTAAGGGGTTACTTGGTCGGTTATGGGCTACTACTATAAGTAACTTATAACCAACCAAGTAACCCATGAATAACTAACCCCTAACTGATAACCCTTGAATAAATAACCCCATAACATATATCCTCGAAATATATAAGTAATAACTGAAATTGGATTATTGATAAAATATTAATTGTGTTAACTTCCGACAATAAGTACACAATTAATTATGTTTTTTTACATTTAATAATCTAGTTACAAAAAAAATATATCGTGTGAATATCATTTAAGCTTAATTTCAATTCAGTTCATTTCAGCTCCAATCAGTTTAGTTTAGTTCAGTTCAGTTCAGCTCTAATCAGTTTAGTTCATTTCATCTCCAAATTTCCTTCATTCTAACAAAATATTCATTTCAACTCAGTTTAGTTTAGTTAAGTTTAGCTCCAATCAGTTTAGTTCAGTTTAATTCAGCTAAAAAAACACAGAGGGAGTATATAAAATTGTTCATAAATAAAAGTCATACGACATCTAAAAAAAGATTTAGATCTACTAAATACGTAATAATTGAATCAAATAAAAACATTCGCAAGCAAATTCTCCATGTTACGATCGTTGTCTCATATCGTACTATCTTATATCTATTCAATGAGCAATTCGAATATAAAATTGAGTATAATTTTGTAAATAAAGTTCTAATCAATAAAAAATAAAAAAAATATAAAAAATAAAATTAATTTTACAAAGCTACAAGTAAAATGTAGGAGGGAAATTTACCTCCATAATCAGTAAAGAGTTTAACTTGGTTGAAAAATTTGTGTGAAATTCTACCCCTAAAGTAAAACTCATCAACATTAGGCGGCAAAACTCCCTCCAAATCAATACTCAATATAACTAATCTATAATAAAAAATTTTAAAAAAATTAAAAACAAAAAACACTAAGAAAAAGGGTGTAAAACACTTAAACACTAACAGCTTCAATTCCTCAACCTGCGTTCTTCATCCTTCACTCCTTTTTTTTTTTTTTTTTTTTTTTTTTTTTTTTTTTTTTTTTTTTTTTTTTTTTTTTTGGAAAGCCAGTTCTTTACTCCATCCTCTATTCTCTACCAATTACAAGCTTTTAATCCAATCACTCTCTTCTAGACTCAAGTGGGAAATCTCAAATTCTCAGGTAAGTTCCTTCTCTCCTACATCTGAAATTTAATTTCTCTCTGAAATTATGTTTCTGTAAATCAATTAACGGTATTTATTGGTTTTTTTTTAATTTAATATATATATGTGTGATATCAAATATCATTTCGGGTTTCAATGGGTTGTGAAATTTGTTTTCAATCTAGCATCATCCGTCAATTAGCTGATTTCATAATGTAACTCGAATTCAATGGGTTTCAAATCATCATACGGGTTTCACTGGGTTTCAATGGACTATGCTGAATGTTAACAGGATATGCATACCCTTCCTTGGGAAAAATATGCTCTGTCTTAGATGTCACTATGCTATGAATGAATGAATGAACTCTATTCTTGTTCAGGGTGATTTTAATCAGCTTGATTCGTTATCTTAGAAGTTAAGTGGATCTAAGCGATTACAGGGTCACTACTCATTGTTGACATTTAGCCACTAGTGGAGCCTTAGTAACATACCATCTAAAGGGGTGGCCTTTACATGGTGTATAGATATACTAGTATATGTTAATCTTTTTTGTATGTAATCTATCTGATTCGATGCTTTTTTTTTTTTTTATATTATTATTGCTTTTGCCAAAAGGTGCTTGTTTAGCTCAATGATGTTGCTTGTGTAAGCGTGTGTATTCATGGATTTCTATTAGTAGCTTTTGTTTCACCGGATTTGATTTGTGTCCGAAACTTGTATATATGTAACTCAATTTATTTGATTGTAGAATGCAGTCGTTATGTTGTTGCTTCCCTAATATTTCCCTCTGTTGCTACCCTGCTATTTCATCCCTTCTTGTTTTTGTGCTAAAACTGATGCTGACCACTTGTTGTCGCACTATTGTGTGCTTGTTGTACTTGATTCAAATCATAAATTAAAAGCTGAGAGATGATGATGTTCATAAAGTTAATCGAATTATTAATCAAGTGAATTGTTATGGCTAGTGTTGCTTTATTGCTTAATTATCCTACAAATTTATACTTGCAAATAGAAGAACCTTACATCAAAGAATTTTATCTTGGACATAAAACCTTAGCATCACCATTATCTTAACCCGACTTGGACTGTGTCCTTGCTTTTTAACAGTCACAATATCTTCCATATAATGAGGATAAAATGAAATAGTTAAGAGTGGAGTAGTTTTGGCGTACCATCTTTGTGAAACACATAATTGCCCATAAGTAGTTCATTAGTCTCATCTATTAGCTCTGTTAGAGTTGTTTTACTACAACTCGAGAGTTCCAGAAGTGGAGCAGCTTTTATGAAATACACAATTCTGAATTCCATGATGCAGAAGATGCTGCCATGCTGAAACCCATGATATGTATTTTTGCTTGTTTTTATAGGGGGTTATTCTGCTAAATCTATTAATTTTATTACATCCCTTTCCCATTCTTTGGCTGGCATTAAAGAAGTTACTTACCTACCACTAATGGTGATAGAAATGTTTACAAATTTTGCACTGGTGTTTCTCAACAGGTACTTCTCTACAACCTAGTGGTATCATCCCTCTTTTGAACACTCCTAGGTGTATCAATGCTGACATGCATGATAGCAAGGCCTTTTGATCTATCTGTGGTTACCATCATAGCAGTCGCTCTATTTGTTTTGTTTATTTCACTCTCAGAATCCCGACATTCTTTTCTACAGTACTTTATACAATATCACCGGGCTGCCTTGAGATCTATACTAGCAGGTTTGTATTCTCCTAATGATTTGAAGTATGGTGACTTATTTCAGATTCTTAAATAAAATTAGATTAATTTGTTTATCTGGTAAACTAATTATATCACTTAGATTTGAAGTTTCTCAAGTAGTGTTGCTGAGGGTGATTTAAGTCAATAGAGTTGGAGCAGGTTTATGATACAAATTTGCTATGTACTTGTTTTATTTAATTTGATGGTTACATATAAAAGTATGTTTGTTTATCATAGCAGTCGTTCTGTTTGTTTTGTTGGAGTCGTTGGAGCAGGTTTGTAAATGATAAAAGTACAATAGGGTTGTCCTGTCATAAATGGAATTTGCAACGAGATTTTTGCCCGTCGTAAATGGATTTAATGATGGGATATAAGCCCGTGGTAATTTGCTTTTGCAATGGGATTATAACAGGTTATACATTCTACAATGGCCCCTTTCTAGGACGGGCTCTCGATGGAAAATGCGTTCATAAATGAACCATTATGACGGATTTACGACGGGATTTCATGTCCTTAATGAACTCGATTCTAGTAGTGTGTTTCAATTTCAGGGTGGGGGGAAACAAACATCAAGTTCCTTTTTTTTATTGCTCAATTAATCTATATATAATACACTATAGGTGGATACTAAACTCAAGAAGATGCTTCCTAAATTGTTCATGAATTGCATGCAAGAGAAAGAAATGATAATGCAGTCTAAAGAATTGCCGAAATTGTTTAGGGGACAAAATGATTTAATTTTAAATTTAATTGTTTTTTTCATAGTTTAACTAGTGATAATTTAATTTTGTAATTTTCCTTATAAATAACACTGTACAAACTTTTAATTTATATTAATAAAATTCTAAAAAAAAATCTATAAATTCTTATTTAGATTGTATTATTATTATTATTATTATTATTATTATTATTATTATTATTATTATTATTATTATTATTACTATGACTATTATTATTACTATTACTATTACTATTACTATTACTATTATTATTATTATTAGATATATCTCTTGGTTTAAAATATAATTGTATATTTAACCATAAAAATAATAATTACTTCTATGTTGTAAGATTCACGGAAGTAATCCTAGTTTATTTTTCCTAAACAACGTGAACGGTTTTTATCAATATATGTTTGCCACAAAAATAAATTTTTATATTACACAAGTGTTAGATTGAATGCCACGGCAAAAAAAATACCTGTGACACAAGTGTTTATTTTCCACGTGAAAAATATTAGTTGTGGCTCAAGTATCAATTTGTCCAATTTGCCACGGGAACATAATTAGCCGTGGCATAAGTGTTTATTTGCCACGGAAAAGAAATTTAGTCGTGGCACAAGTTTCAATTAGCCACGAATTTCCTTTTTCCCGTGGCATAATATTTTGTTGACATATCAATTTTTTTGTTGACTTTATTTTTCCCGTGGCTAGATCAAATTATGCCACGAATTTAGAATTCCTGTGGCATAATTCGTGGCACAAGTGGTTAATTGTTGTAGTGAAATCCGTTCGGATCCTCCTAGCGATTGCTGCATATTACAATTAAGAAATATGGCAGATGGACGTCAAAACCGCCTTCCTTAATGGTATTTTGGAAGAAACTGTGTATATGACACTGCCTGAAGGTTTTTTCGACCAAAATGATGCTGGGAAGGATTGTAAGCTTAAGAAGTCCATTTATGGACTAAAGCAAGCAAGCAGAAGTTGGAATCTGCGATTCGATGAAGCCATTAGTAAGTTGGTTTTATCAAGAATTCAGATGAATCTTGTGTTTACAAGAAGGTTAGTGGGAGTGTCATCGCCTTCCTAGTCTTATATGTCGATGACATATTTCTCATTGGAAATAGCATTTCGTTGTTAGACTCTGTAAAGGCCTAGTTTGGAAAGTGCTTCTCAATGAAAGACTTGGGAGAGGCTCATTACATACTTGGCATTAAGATTTATAGGGATAGATCAAAAAGGATGATTGGATAGAGTCAAAGTACTTATATTGATAAGGTACTTGCTCGATTTGGCATGGAGGAGGCCAAGAGAGGTCATTTACCATTGTCACATGGCATAACCCTAAGCAAGAAGTTGTGTCCATCGAAACTTGACGAGTGGGTAAGAATGAATCAGATTCCATATGCTTCGCTTATTGGATCGATCATGTATGCCATGATATGTACTAGGCCAGATGTATCGCATGCCTTGAGTGCTACGAGCCGTTAAAAATCAGATCCAAGAGAGGCCCATTGGACTGCGGCCAAGAATATCCTAAAGTATTTGAAAAGGAACAAGGATAAATTCATGGTGTATGGTGGTTCAGAAGAATTAGTTGTGGAAGGTTATACCGACACAAGCTTCCAAACAGACAGAGACGATTTAAAATCGCAATCTGGATATGTGTTCTGTCTAAATGGAGGAGCGTTTTGTTGGAAGAGTGCCAAGCAGATTACAACTACATATTTTACAACTAAAGTCGAATACATAGCAACTGCTAAAGCAGCTAAGGAGGCTGTTTGGATTCATAAGTTCGTTGGTGAACTTGATGTTGTACCCTCCATAAAGGGTCTAATATCCCTCTATTGTGACAACAATGGAGCTATTGCTCAGGCCAGGAGCCAAGGGAACATCAGAAGGTCAAACATGTCAAACGACTTTTTCACATGATTCGAGAATGGAAATCAGAATTTGCAAAGTTGGAACGGGTGACAATGTAGCCGATCCACTTACTAAACCTTTGCCTCAAGTGAAGCACAACCAACACGTTGAGGCAATGGGAATCAAGCATGTAAAAGACAGGCTTTGATTTCCTTGTTTAGTGATTTAGTTAAGTTTGAACATTTAATGTAAGACACTAAGACAAACCATTCAAGTTTTGGAGTAGAATAAATTTCATGCAATATTTTATCACTCCGTTTGCTACTTAATTGTGGTTTAGTATTAAATAATGAGTCCATTCGATTATGAGAATATTCAAAATAGGGTATCAAGACCAGTCTTGGTAAGGAAATACCTATTAAGTGAACATTGTATATTATAATCGAAAATTACCCCTAATCAAAGTCATTTAAATGGTGGACGTTTAATGACAAATTGAGATTAGTGTGTAGTCTGATTTATAGCACCGTTTCTTGTGCTACGAAGACATGATTATCATAAATCATTTGCACAGGTATTGTTTTAGAACCATACTGGATCAACCTATGAGAATACTTTAAGAGATTAAAAATCGTCATAAGTATACTTCTCATTGTGGCTATCGGAACCTATTTCCTCGACCTTGAGTATTGTGAGTTCTCTTGTTTGAGTACTAGTCCGTTTTGATGTTGTCAAACGACTGCCGTAATAGGGGATTATAATGACAACACTCGGGCGGCTAGGTCCTCTCAGTAAGAGAAGCTACATTACAAGACTGGGAATGTCCCCATATTAAAATAGGGAGGATGTCTTTGTTGCATACAAGGCCTCTCGTAGAGCGAGACTGTGAAAATGCATGGTCGTGCTCGGATGGATTTTAGAAATCATCTATTTATTGACAGTCGGACTCGGAATTGAGAAACAATTCTGGACGTAATAAGGATGATAAAATAATCTTACCTTATAGTTCATGAAGAGACATTAAGTGACATAGGGAAAAGGTTGTACACTAAATGCGCACTTGTCCGGAAGGATAAGTGGGAGATTGAACGGAATGTTGTCCTTCGAACAAGTTTACTATTCCGTTAGTGGGTTCAGAATTGTTAGAAAGCTAATATATTCAGTATGGTCAAGTGATCGAAATTCCTTGGTAGAGGCCGCTTCCAGTAAGTAATATTAATGCATAATTAATATTATAGCTTAATCTTTACTGAACCCTTCGGGTCACACCCAAGCAACTAACGAACCGAAGCGACGAATTAATCCGGAAGGAATTAATATGTCAACCGAGTAATAAATATTTAGACGAATTTTGATGATGATGAAATTAAACAAAGCAAACATCAAACTAATAAGAGTTTTCTAAGTGTTGTGATCTAGACAAGTGAAGTTAACTTTTGAAGTGTAAAAGTATCATCGTTTATAAAAGACACTTTAGAGAGCTTAAGGAAAGATAAGGAAGAGAGAAGAAGAGTTCCCATGGAGGAACTAATGAAGTTCCTTAACAGGAACCTGAAGACAGCAAGGCAAGAAATTTACTCGGTCTGCGTTAAAGACATCAAGTTTTTGAAGAACTTGGTTTGCAAAGTTCCAAGTTGAAAATGGAAGGAAATTTACAGTAGGAACTTAGTCCTTGCCTGCGTGAAGTCCAAGCATTCTAATATTCATAGTATTGATGCAGCAATATAGTTTTAATATTGTTTTATCTTTAGTAATTGTTGTAAATATGATAAGTAGGTTATGCATGAGATTATTAGAAACTTGACAAAAGCTTGGCAAGCTTCTTAAAATTGGAAAATTAAAAAGATAAGCTTTTAGGAAAAGATTTTTATTAAACAAGATTTATTTTCTTAAAAACCAATTATCAAAAAGATTTTATTCTTTGAGATAATCTATCTTGATTGAATTTCTAAATGATTTTCTTCCAAAAAGACTTACTTAAAAACTGTGTTTTTGGATTTAGGAAAATTTAGATGTTTATCTTTTTAAAACCCTACTTTATATACAAGCTAGTCTTGTATAAGTTTAAGAGATCCGAAAATTCATTTTTTGTGAGTTTATGGGTGAAGAAAATCTAAGTATGCTTAATTGTGTAAGTTTACCAAGTCTTTAGCTTTGTCATAGTTGTTTTGGATTTCATGAATTTCTTGGCTCTCATATATTAGTGTCTCTACTTTGTAATTGGTTAGGTTCTTGGGTGTGTGTGTGTGTTTAATATCTTTGCATACAATAATGAGAATATTACTCTGTGACTACGAGTGAGTCTAAGTCAGAGATTTAGATTGGGTAGGATAGGGTCTTATTGTGTAGCAAGTTTATTCTAGAACTTGTGAGTAAAGATCTGATTATAAATGGATTATATCTTGAAAAGTTTG